CCATTTATTTTTTAAATGACAAAAAGAGAAAAAAAGCCAAGCAGGCCGAACGGCTCGAACCAATGACCTGGTCCATGCGGGCTTAGCGGTCCGGGCCGGATTACACATATTTTCTCGCCCCGCCCGGAAAGCCTGCATGGACGGTTTTTTAAAAAGCGGGCTGTGCCCGGGCTCTTCAGTGTGCGGGCGGGCCCGCCCGTTTTTACGTATCCACGCATTAAAGTTTAGCTGACGGTTTTTTAAAAGGCGGGCTGTACCCGGGGTCTTCAGTGTGCGGGCATGGCCCGCCCGTTTTGACGTATCCGCACATTAAAGTTTAGCCGTCGCTGAAGCTCCGCCACTTTCTGAAGATTCGCTCTTTAGAGCGTTCAGTGAAGTCGCGCTTTTTCTACCAAAATTAGGCTTTCTATCTTCTTCATTTTTTACTTTTTAATCATACACAGATAATTTATCGTGTTTTCATAATTGAACTCCACAAATCTTTGGACTCTTGTAACTGAGCCCTTCTTCGTCTTCAATGGAGTCCTGCTATCACCATTTTTCTTCTTCACTGAGCAGCATCCATACTCTGAAGAAGCCTTCGTTGTTGCCCATCACAGTAATAAATACAAATCTTTCTAGTAGTTCGGGTAGAAGATGTTATATTGTCACAAATATGATGAAGCCCTCAATGCAAGAAGCAGCCTCTGCTTTTTCTTACAAGAAATTCATTCACTTTGCTCTGGAAGAAACCAGGAAACATACCCATTTAAGCCCCTCTCCCTTACAGGTAAAAACCCTTTTGCTTATATATGTATGTTTAGTGTATTTCGAGTCCCTTTTTATGTTTATATGGGTAAGTTATGTGAAGCGGCCAAGTTTTATCCACGTGGGTTCATTTCTTAAAGATTAGATTTTTCCAGTTGGGAAGATATGAATTAACAAGTTTTAGTTTGTTTAAAAATTAGATTTTCTTTTCTTTTTTAAGAATTTATTTTGGAGGACATTCATGGAAATTAATCAGTCTAGGCTTGAAATTTGTGCCCATTGGTGTAAGGTTTAGTGAGGTTGTGTAGTTTTCTTGAGATTGGAGGTGATATTTATAGTAAAATGTTTTTAAAAGAAACGTGGTAAGGCTTTGAAAGAACAGAATTTGGCAGTGATTTGGATGGCTATATCGAATGCAAGTCTGTTATTGTTGTTTTGTTTGTATTTTTTGACTGATATGCATTTTAGTAATTAAGATACTTCACTTTATTTTACTATCTACCGTCATGATTAATCCATTTTTTTTTCATATAAGGCAAACATTCTCTAATGCACTCTGTGTTATCATTAGCCAAAACTGAAGAAGCATATAAAGTTGCAAACGCCAATTCACTTTGTTATTTCTGACTTGTAGCAATGCACGAATTTTTCTGCCCCGTCTACCTATTAGTGACTGATCCTTTCTCTTTCTGCAGGAAAATTTCAGTCACTTGATGGCCATGGATGGGAAAACAGAGCTTCAAATGCTCTCTTATGAGGCTTCTAAGATTAGACTATTGCGTAGTTTGTGTGTTGAACAGAGTGACGGAATTCAGGTTAATTTCCATACAACATCTTTATTTTTTTATAATTCTTAGGCAGATGATCCTTGCAGTCCTCTATCTTGGTTGGTCTTGTAAAGAGATAAAGAAGTTCCAATTTCCACAGTTTAATAAATCTTAAAATTAATTGTAGTTGCTTATTTGATTGAAATGTGCCATGCATGAAAACTATATGTAATAATTTTTCTCGTTGCTGCTTAGATTGACATGTGATCACCATATACAGCTCTCAAGTCAGAATGTTACTTTTTATTTGTGTCTGTAAATGTTTCTCGCATTTGTTTTCGATGCTAAAATGAAACTGATGTATTTCATTTTTATTCACTACTTTTTGTACAGCAAGAAAAACTCCTTTTATAATTGATTTATTGTTTTCTTTGTTTCAACCCAAAATCATTATCTTTTCAAAGTTAAAAGACATAACATTTATTTACGTCAGCAGTGCTACAGAATGCAGTTAACTATATTTAGTCCAGTTCAGAACTTTCGCCTGTATATATATTTTGGGAATTTTCATTAAATTGATTTTGTTTTGTGAATCTTACTGCCAATCACTTGGTCAGAAAGATGAAATTGGGAATGTAAATCCTCATTATGCATGTATATCAGACTATTAATCCTAATTTGGAAGCACTGTGTCCAGGTCTTGGATCTTGGTATATTCCCCAGACCAGAATTTGATCTACCTATTTTTTGTGCCAATTTTTTCACCACCGCTACCATGAACATCATTGTACTGTAAGCTCTCTGATTTCCTTTCTTTGACTCTCAGAATTGTCTCTTTTTGAGTTTTGAGTCCAGAAATAGATAGAAACTGATATGAGTGGTCAATAGCTGTAAACTGGTTAAAGATCTACAATGAATGTTGTGAATATGCATACTTCATAGACATTCAATCTTCAATAGTTGATTGATGATCGAATGCTGACCATCTATATTTATATCAAATAACTTTGTTAGTCTCATCGAATTTTTTATATATCTTGGCGCATATTTTATCTGTGATGTTTAACTATTTATAGGGACCTTAACCCGTTACATGATATCATCAATCAGAGGGATTACAAGGAGAAGTATTATAAGTGTTTAATTCCTCTTGGCCTTAAGCATGCTGAGGTGAACAAATTTTAGAAGTTATTCTTTAAATTTGACTTTCAAAGATTCCTATGTTAATATATTTGCCCCGTCTGAAATCACGGTATGGTTAACACAGATTTCGTGCAGCTTTTACCCTGGGGAGGAAAGATTACGAGTGAATCTTTGAGATTTTTCTCACCGATAGTTATATGGACCAAGTTCTCTCCAAGCGAATCTAAGCACAGTGCTTTATATTGTGCCTTCAAGGAATATCTCAAGGTATGCACGAAACTGGTGTCAAAATGTAAAAATGATGGGCTTGCGTTTACATGCCATTTAGTCTTTTAAATCTATGGACACATAAACCCTATTGCTATTGGAGCCCATTTCAGGCGAACATGAACTTCATTGCTATAAGAAATATTTGGCTAAGCTTAAGAAGTTTACTTGTCAAAGGAATAAGCAAGTTTCATTAAATCATTTTTTATTGGTAAAATTTGGAACACTATAAGAAATATTTGGCTAAGCTGAAGAAGTTTACTTGTCAAAGGAATAAGCAAGTTTCATTAAATCATTTTTTATTGGTAAAATTTGGAACACTATAAGAAATATTTGGCTAAGCTCAAGAAGTTTACTTCTCAAAGGAATAAGCAAGTTTCATTAAATTATTTTTTATTGGTAAAATTTGGAACTAAGTTACTTATTTTTATAGACGTTAAAGAGTTAATTTCAAAATGAGAATTTTTTTTTTTAGTTAAAAGTATGAAAACAAAGGTGACATATTTAAACACTTTTGGAAACTAAAAGTTACTTAAAATTACTTATTTGAGCTGAGCCAAACATTCTCTCCATTCACTGTAGTTATTATTTCTGGTTTCGTTTTCAGGTGTGGCTCGAGCTGATGGACCAAGCAACAGAGGAGACCAGAGGTCCACAAATTATGTGCAATCTCGAAGCACAGCATAGGTATCTAACATGGAGAGCAGAAAAGGTAAACAACATTGTTCTGTTGTAGCATTGTATTACATCCGCCATCTATGTGCCGTAAAGTCATGACTTATGTTTGCTAATGGATTTGTTAGACTTGTCTTCTTAATTAGTGAATAAAAAGCACCTGCAGTCTGCTCTAGTAACATGATGGCAGTTAAAGTGCTTCTTCATTACTTCTTCCTCATAGATTTAATCAGTTTGTTGTGTAATTTGATTCTAATACGGAGTCTTTACTATCCGAAAATCAATCTGAATCAAGGCCATCCATGAACAAATCTGCCATTGATGATACTTCTAGTCCTTACTTTCTTCATCACTCAGACAGTCCGGTATTAATTTTGGTTTCTCAGCAACTCACCGGAGATAACTATGCCTCCTGGAGTCGTACATTGACTATTGCATTGTCTGTAAAGAATAAACATGGTTTCGTTGATGCAACAATATCCAAACCTGGAGGTACTAATTCTGATCCGATCAATTCATGGATTAGAAACAGCAATATAGTCATTTCATGGATTCTGAATTCCATTTCTAAAGAAATCTCTGCGAGGGTAATCTATGCAATTTCAGCATATGAGATTTGGAATGATTCAAAAGATAAATTCCAACAGAAAAACGGATTTTCAATTGAGAAGAGAGCTGATGAATCTGGCTCAAGATATAAACAATGTCAGTGTTTACTTTACTAAACTCTAAACGATTCGGGAGGAGTTCAATAATTACCATCCTAGTTGCAACTGTGGAAAGTGTACTTGTGGTGGTGTTAAAGAGCTGAATGCTCATCATCAAATGGAGTGCATAATGTCATTCCTCATGGGGCTGAACGATTAATTCTCTCAAGTCAGAGGACAGATATTACTTTCTGATCCATTACCTCCAATCAATAAGGTATTTGCCTCAAGGTATTTGTGGTGGTATTTGGAATTACTGGGAATGTCAAGAAGAATGAGAGACCTTATTGCTCTCACTTTAACTTTCATGGCCATTCAATTGATAACTGCTATAAAATCCATGAATATCCACTTGGATATAAGACAAGATTAAGGGATGCATCTAGATCGAACAATAAGCCAACAGATTACTCTGCTCTTAGAGTCTTTTGTTGCTTGACATTTGCTTCCACCTTGTCTGCCCACCCCACATAAATAAGTTCTAACCTCATGCCAGATTGTGTGTATTTCTAGGATATCCATCAGGAGTTAAATGCTAAAAACTCTATGATGTGGCTTCAAAACATATATTTTCAATAAGAGATGTCATATTTCATGAAGATATTTTTCCCTTTCATCAATCATTGCAGCTGATCATCTTACTGATCCCTTTCCTGACTTAGTTCTGCCAAATCCTTCATTGTCTATTCCCAAAACTACCAATGCTGAACCAGTTGACCATATCCATGATTATATCCCAACCATCAACACTCACACATCATCTCAAGAAGAATCATCTAATGCCTTGCAACCTATTGTTGATCATTCAAATATCACACCAAGTGTTGATCTCACTCTAGATATCAATATCAGAAAACCACAAAGAATCATCAAACCTTCAAGATATCTCAGAGCCTATCATTGTAACATGATTTCTTAAAATTCCAAACATTCTTTTCAATTGCCTCATAACATTGGTCACTTTATATCGAATGACAAGTTGTCTCCCAATCACAGACACTTGATATTAAATATCTCATCCCAAGTTGAACCAAATTTCTACCATCAAGCTGTAAAATATCCTGAGTGGCGTGCAGCCACGAAACGTGAACTTGATGCTATGGAACTGAATCATACATGTCTGTTGTGCCTTTACTATCTGATAAACACCGTGTGGGTTGCTAATGGATATACAAGATAAAATACAAATCAGATGGTACAATTGAAAGACATAAAGCTCGATTGTTGTTTAAGGCTATATACAATAAGAGGACCTCGACTACTTTGATACTTTTTCTCTAGTGGCAAAGATTGTAACTGTCAAAGTTCTAATTGCTCTTGCAGAATGACGTAATTGGCATTTGGTTCAACTAGATGCCAATGCCTTCTTGAATAGATAAAATAATAGTTTGTTGTAAATTGCACAAGTTTATATATGGACTCAAGCAAGCATCTCGACAGTGGAATTTCAAGTTTTCACAGGCTCTCATTCAATTTGGTTTTACTCAATCAAAGGCAGACTATTCATTGTTTACTAAAGGTTTTGGACATGACTTTGTGGCACTATTGGTGTACGTTGATGACATTGTCATCACTGATCCCAATTCTCAGGCTATTGATTCTCTAAAAACCTTCTTACATTCTCAATTTAAGCTGAAAGATTTGGGCTGCTTGAAGTATTTTTTGGGCATTGAAATTGCTCATTCAAAGTTGGGCATAGTCATTTCTCAAAGACATTATGCCTTACAATTAGTGGAAGATGCTGGATATTTGGATTGCAAACCGGTTAATACACCTATGGATCCAAAAGCATGTCTTAGCATATGTTAAAGTAAAAGAATTAGAAGGCTTAACAATTGTGTTAGCCTGTCCCACTATTTATAATAAGAGTTAGGAAAACCTTAGGAAACCCTA